TCACCCCTATGACATGTGACTCGTAACATAAATAGTGAAAAGTGCGTGTTACACTGTACAGTGGTATTAAGTGCCGAAATGTGCACCTCTGCCTACCCCTTCGGGGATAAAAAGGCGTGATGTTATGTTATTTAAAAATGTATTTTTAGGGAATTTAAAATAATTTTATGGGAATAATTTCATATTAAAAAAAATTACAGTCCAACGCTAAATCCAAGCAGAACCAGAATCAGAATCAGAGCCGGGGGTATCCAGAGAGATCGGAACGGAACGATAGAAGCGGGAGGGAGAGGAACGATAGGAGTGAGAGAAACAGCGTGAGCATTAGCCGGGATCGAGACGAGAGCGGGAGTGTCATCAGCCACGGGAAGAACTCACGGTAAGTCGTTGGCTCAAAAGCCTGATCTATCTATATTATTTATTTATTTATTGTTTATTTTCAGCCATGATCGTCCCACTGCAGGGCAAAGGCCTCATCTATCTATACATATAATAAAATCGTAGGAAAGCGAATATTTTTTTTTTAAAGAATGCTTTGGCCGTGATCTACTGTCGATAGGTACCGAAACCAAAATTATGGTTTTTAGAATTTTAGTCTGTTTGTCTGTATGTATGTCCGGGATGAACTCAAAATGTGCTGCATGGATTTACTTCAAATTTTGCTTGAAAATCACGAACAGGTCGGGTCAACATATAGGCTACATATTATTAATTATTTAGGAAAATTTAAGTAATGAATCAACAGCTAGATAACACAGATTTAGCAGAAAAATAGTTAACATTAACAACTTACAGATTCACACGAAAACGACTTAATAGGTAACAGCTAAGACAAAATCATAAATATATAAAAAAAAGTAGGCACATAGCAAGAAATATTTATAGAGAAAAAAAGTGAATACATATTTAAAAAATCTGCTGTTAAAATAGTCTTTACTTATTATAGTTCTAGCTTTCCTCAGGCTTGTACAAAAGATGTCTACATCATGCCTGCTACTGATGTTGTTAAAAGTACGTCAAGCTCGACACAAAATTATCATGCTATCATCTACGGGGAGTCGCGGAGACGGCGGAGAACCTAACGGGTAACCGGGGCTCCGACTCGACGTGCAGGAGAAGGAACGGGGTGGTTTTTAGTCAGTAAGAGTCTGACACTCCCTCCCGCCTCACCCAGGCGGGAGCAGTCATTTGATGATTTTCCCCTCTTAAATCATCTACGGGGAGGAGCTGTGAATCACTATTCCACGCTGAGGAAGTGGCGGGCTCTGCTAGTAATCAATAATTTCTATATCCTGATATCAATTTTATTAATTGACTTCAATAATGAGGTTCTCAGTTTGACCTGAATGAAGGTATATATGTATGTATGTTACGTAAGCTTTTATACACGATAGCGGCCCGTCCCGGCTTCGCACAGGGGGACTTAAGATTTTTTACATAGTTTTACGTTTTATTTATATTTATTCTCAGTTTATTATTTTTGAAATAGTAGGTAAGTACTTACCTAATAGGTATCTTTTGGATGAATTAATAGTCTTAAGGTAACCGATTGAACAATTCAAAAGTTATCTAGAGCAAACTTTTATAAGGATTGAACCATTCATTAAAACGATTGTTATGGGTAAACTATAAAAGGTAGACATATGCTCTCGCGGACTTTTTTAAAAATAATGTTAAGATGAACAATTCATCTATAGAGCATTTTTGTATAACTTTAACTATATGCTCAGCGCACGCCACGGAAGGCCTCAGAAACGATACTTTTCCCCCGATTTAAAACATTTTTGGTTACTGCTCCACAACTATAGGACCTAGCGTGATATTATATAGCCTATGTTACTTCTGAATAATGCAGCTTTCTAATGGTGAAAAAATTATTGCAATCGGTCCAGTAGTTTTTGAGTTTATTCATTACAAACATACAAAAATACAAATCTTTCCTCTTTATAATATTAGTATAGATTACCTAGCGATTGGCTGCACCGATTTTTTAATGCGGTTTTCAGATGTGTTTGTTACACGACAGAGAAAGTTTTAGTATATTAAACTGTCAAAGACCAAGCGGTCACCGGTGACCGCAACCTATTGTTCTATAATTGTGTCTGCAAAACCGGTACTCGACGAGTTAATTACTAGTTATTTGTGATCCGCGACTTCGTCCGCGTTGAATATGAATTTAGATAAATATTACTTTAAAATGAATTGAAATAAAAATTATGATTCACACACCATAATCCTCGAAAACTAAGTTTGAATTTTCTATTCTAATTTAGCTACCTATTTTGCTAGAATACAAAAGTTCACTTCGGAATGCGTCGACCAATCGTATCGCAGTACAATGTTTTGTTTCTGCATTCTCATTGGCTCGGCCGCCACCCGCCACCGCCATCTTGCGACTATGGTAGTGTGGAGGCAAAGTTAGGTATTCATATTTTGTGCCGGTCGCAATCAACTTCGCGAGTCGTTCACTGTGAAATTGAAAACTGAAAGTTTTAATAGAAATATCTTGTAAATTATTCTTAAAATAGTATTGTGACCAGTGAATTTATAGTTAGTTTTGTGTTTAGTGAAGTTTTCGCAGACGGTAAATACCAAAACGCGAAAGTAATTTGAAATACAATCGAAATGTTATCCAAGTATTTTTCGTCGATGCAGCAAAATGATGAGTGAGTTTTGATACCTAACATAGTATTTACATTATTAATAAGCACTGTTACTAACAAGGAATACAAAGGATTGTTTCATTATGTTAGTTTTTTATCATTACGGACGACTTTAACACAGGAATTTTATTATTATTCGAAACACTCGAGTCTAGGTACTTGAGTTTTCAAGTTGTGCGAACGAAAGTTTATATTTTTCTCTGTCATCGTTTTTATAAATCAAGCAACTTGATCCTAATAAGCACCTACGCAAGTTTAATTGATATGAACCCAAGAATTCGTTTAATTCATTCACTTTACATGTAAAGATCGTTCACTAATGTTTGTAACCGGTGACCGGCACGTCGACTGTCTACCCTCTTGTCTCGTTATTATTGAAGTCTTGTTGTTTTCCGACCTTTCTACAAACTGCATGTACCTACATAAAAGTGATTTACGCATAATGAAAACGAATATTTCTTTCGTTATTTGGGAAGATCTCAAAGAAATTGTTACCAGGGTACTTTCTTTGAGTGATAATTTTGATATGAAGTGATTTTGTGTTATATAAAAAAATCGTTCCATTGGCTTTATATACGTATACAGAAAGTTTGAAACGGCCAGTTTGATTTTCTCGAGATTTTAAAACATCCCTTTACGTGTAGAATGAGTTCAAAAGGCTGTCTGAATCTGTCACAGTTTTTTCAATTATGTGAGATTATCTGGTCAGTCTGAATGACCCCTCTAATGGTAGATTTAGTTACTATAAATAGATTGTTTGGATATAATATTTATGAAATGATTAATGAACAGCTTGAATACACCGATAGTGTTATTAGCGATAGGTGTGGATTGAAAGATGATGTAGTGTCAAGGATTGAAAAGGTAACGTTACACTGGTTTGGACTACATGAATGGATGGATGAAAGTAGGGTAATGAAAGAAGTATACAGAGCGGATATGAATGGGGCCGTCGGTAGTGGGTGCCTTAGACGGACATATACTGACCTGATTGAGGATATATTAACTCGTCGAGTACCGGTTTTGTAGACACAATTATAGAACAATAGGTTGCGGTCACCGGTGACCGCTTGGTGTTTGACAATTTAAAGAAGGGCCAAATTAAAAGTACCCTTCACCAATGAGCATGTATGAAAAGATTGATGACTGTTGATGAAGCGAAAGAGGTAGTAATTGGCGTTCATAGTCTGCCTACTCCCATGGGAGATAGGTGTGAAGTTATGTATATTGAATACACCAATATGAAATACAATAGAAGATAGATTGTCTCAATACATTTTGATAAATGCTATACCTAGTTATTTAGTCATTTCAGCTCATTGTCAGTGAACCATTTTCTGTGTGACTTCATCAATACATACCGTTGAAATTCATCCCCTAAATTTGGTCATACAAAAGTAGTGTCTAAACATTAGAAATAAGGTCTATAATGTAATGTAATATTAGTGGAAAGCGGTCACCGGTGACCGCTTGGGAATTTATGGGTAATGTAGTATAAAACAAAGTCACTATCCACATCTGTCTGTCCCTATGTATGCTTAGATCTTTAAAACTATACAACCGATTTTGATGCGATTTTTTTAATAGATAGAGTGATTCTTAAGGAAGGTTTATATGTATAATACATGCATATTGCACCCGTGCGAAGCTGGGGCAGATCGCTAGTAATTTAAAATCACTCATCAAATTTTGTAGAGAGAAGAAAAACATTGTAAGGACACTTATAATTGCTTATTTATCATTTAGGTGTAAGCTTGAAATTGCCAACCTGCTTTGACCTTGGTTAATAAGTAATAAATGCTCATTCCTTCTTGTTTTTGAAAACAGACCTTTGCTCAGCTATAGGACAGTGATAAAACAATGTTAGTGACATGATGAAGTGCTGAGCTTTATTTATTTGGAAGCCCTTTTTGTTTCAGAATGGCAGACGATGTTCCTAATGGAGATAACAATATGGATGACCTGTTGCTGGAAGATGACTATGTAAGTATCAACATATTAAATTAATGATTGCCTCGTTGGCCGAGTGGTCGCAAGTGCGACTGCCGGGCAAGGGGTACTGGTTTTTTTATGAATTCTCAATAGTAGCCCTGGAATTGTGCCCGGTATATGGCAATAGGCTCACCCCCCTATTACATGGGACTCATAACATAAATAGTGAAAAGTGGGTGTTACAGTGTACAGTGGCATAATGTACACCTTTGCCTACCACTTCGGGAGTATAAGGCGTGAAATTATGTAAATGAAACAGTATGGCTTCTACAAAAATCTATTTAGAATTTTTCTCATTTATCCACAGGGGTTCTCAGACATCCTAGACCCAAACCTCCACCTGGAACTGGAAAGTCTCAAGCTGGAACAGCTGAAGGTACGGGAAGAGCAGTTGCAGGTCAAGCAAAGGGTTATATTGTTGAAACAGGCGGAAAGACGACCTGTAAGTTTTATTATTATTTTATTTCACTCCATAATAACCTGGTAAAAGCTTCGCGTTCACCACCCCCACTCTTCACGTGGGTGTTGGATACCCGATCTTGTGAATCATTTGACATTGGACATGAGTGCTTCATTTTTGCTTAACTAACTTGGTGATGGCTGCTTACAATTCACTAATTGCCATAAATCTACTTATCATTGTACACCTAGCTAAGGGTTACATAATTTGACAATGTCTTTGTGGAGGAGCCCCGTAGTCCAGTTTACTGTCTGTCATGGTCTCTGTCTCATCAGCTGTAGCCAAATGCCATTTAGCGCTTGTCTACATGTAGAATAGAAAACTAAATTATATGGAATTGACGTAAATTTTTACCCTTGTCAGTGTCTTCCCCTTACATTTTGATTTCTACTCTCTCTGTAGACAAGTAGACAAGCGCTAAAGCGTTTGGCTAAAGGCCCATGTCTGAGACTACCTTCTGCCGGCGGCTTTGCCCGCGTTAACTGAATCAAATATAGTATTCGTTATTCCGTACAATTCGTTGACGTTGGGTCATAAAGCCGCAGGCTGAAATGGAACTGGGCTGGTCTGATGTCTCCCGCATTTCAGACGAGCGGTGGGCAAAACTAGCTACTAAGTGAAGCCCACTCAACGTTATTAGACGTCGAGGCAGGCCTAAAAAGAGAGGGCGGGACGAATTAAAAATCTATGACAAGGATTGGCTGTAAAAAGCTTTACAATTTACATTATAGATGGGAGTGGAAGGAGGCCTTTGCCCTGCAGTGAGACGATCATGGCTGAAAAAATTGGTCAATCTCTTTGATGCCGATACGGATCCGCAGAGAACCTAACGGGTTACCGGGGCTCCGGCTCGAAGTGCAGGAATAGGAACTGGGTGGTTTTTAGTCAATAAGAGTCTGATACTCCATCCCACCTCACCCAGGCGGGAAGAGTCATTCGATGATTTTCCCCCCTTAAAAAAAATGCTGCACAAAAACTAAAAGCAACGCTTGTTAACTATAGTGTCTCCCATTGCGGTAGACAAAGACAATTACACCACCATTTTGACATACCTAGTTCGCTTCATCTACATTCATCTTATTCTTCATGCTTGTGCAAGCAATGTGACTCATAAGATTTTAATATGTTTTTGTTTTTTTTTGTTTAGATGACGCAGATGAGTAATCGGTGCATTCTGCCTGATGGAAAGATCGTGGTTCGCAACAATGCTGACAGGTTAGTATTTTTAAAATTGATATTTTTATTCTATGTATTTATTTTCTAAGAATGAGATTAATTTATGCTACAAATGGCAGTTTTTGTATGTAGGAATTGCAGTGGCGTGCAGTCCATATAGGCGAAAAGGCATTGCCTACCTATAAATATCGTGAATATATAACATACATATAATGTACAAACGCGTTTATTAAAATTCAATAATATAATAAAAGTTTGTAAAAAAACGGCTAACATAAATACGCGCCTTTGTAAAGTAATGAATGCGCCCCGCACGCACCACGCATGCGCCACTATTCCTTAAATCTTGGTTGGCAGTAGTGACGTCACAAAAGAAATGTACCAAAAGTATGCACCGCGCATGCGTGAAGTTCACGACCATAGTCACGGTACAGAATAACCATTCATAATTATATTACGCGATTCCTGTTGATTGACAAAATGTTTGCAACTAAAAAATTAGAGGACCGTTCGTTCATCACTTGGAAAACGATCGTATTTTATTAAGAATTCTAAATACAATAAAACAACAACAAGTTATTGTATTTTTAAAAACAATTAAATCATAAAAGGATTTAAATTGATAAAATTTGTATGTATATCGTAAAGTACTGATGAATGGAGTACACCAGCGCCATCTATTGAATTTTTTGTTGAAACTTCTGAACTCGTTCGATATAATGCGAATGTATTTTTATAAATGCGTATTTAACAAATATTTTTCAAGTGTTTTAATTAAAGTTTAACATTTTTACGCGTTGTCGGTTTATAGAAATTTTAAACGAGGAGTTGACTTTATTATTATAAAAGTTAAAAGGAAGTTATTGATACGTCAAGATGGCGCCATTTACAACGTTTCAAATTATATGAATGAATGTTTTTTAGTATGAAATATTGGTTTAAGACGATGATGCAATTTCATTTGACTTACTAAATTAACGTTTGTTTTTTTGAAATTAAACGCTGCGTTACCTTAATTTTTAAGCTACATTTTTTTTATAATAAACACTCAATTGACTATTGGTAATGACTTCAATTCATTTCCAATGTTTTCGGCCATATTGTTTTCATGTGATGTGCGATCGCTTTGTTTATGTTTTCGTTTAAATTATTAGGAATTAGTTTTAAACATAAAGTTGCATAAATGTGTAGTAGTAGTTAAATATATGTGTAGGTTTTTCAAATAGTGTATTTGTTTCTCAGTTTCTAGTACAAGTACCTATATTATTCGATTGTGAAGTGTGTGTGAATAATAGGTAATTTTATGTGTTTGTTGAAAGTAAAAACAGTAAGATTTCGCAATGTCCTTTATCGGACTAGATTCAGGTAATGACCATAGGCAGAGGTGTACTCGAGTTACGAGAATTGACCCAAGTAAAAGGTAGGTAATGTAAATATGTACTATAATGGATCTTTTATTTGATTTTCTTGTTTATTGTTTGATAATTCTTAAAAATATCAACTTAGACTTCGGGTTGTACTGATTCACATATTAATTTATTATTAATATTTATGTAATGTAGTAATAACAAATGTACCGCATAGACTCGGCCGGCTCGGCCACAGCCGGCCGCGCTTGTTATTGTTTTGTTTGTTGACATAATGTAGGTACCTACGCTCTTAAATTCGTAATATATTATGATTTTGACCAGATTGATTAACCTTAACAATTCCATAATGAAATTTGGTTCATCAAATTTATGCTTCATTATTAAAATAAATAATAGATCTTTCTTTATTTGTAAGTTTTGTTGGCTTATTCAATAGCTGATGAAGTACTTCACAAAAAATACGCGAGATGTCAGTGTATGTAATTTGGCGAAACAATACACCACAATATTCTTGAACGCACTTTTCAAAATATATTATGTACATGTACCTATCTTGTGTGAGCATGATTGTATGACCGGCGGGGGGGAGGGGTTTAATCATACGATATTTAGTTGCCTACCCTGTCTCGAAAACCTGTGCACGCCACTGAGGAATTGTGATCAATTCAAAACTATTCCAACTATGTATTCCGATAAACAATTCTGACTTAGAATAAATATATTCTAAGTCAGAATTGTCAGAATCAGAAAAAGACAGAATCTAAATCGGAATTTGGTATTTAATACACATGGTCTAAAATAGCATTCTATTGAGCATGCTCCTAGTCTATACTGTTCAAAAATCGAACGCCTCTCGATTCGCAAAGATATCTTAAACTAGCTACTTCAGCGCGGTTTCACACGCTCTGCTCAGCTCCTATTGGTCGTAGCGTAATGTTTTATAGCCTATAGCCATCCTCGATAAATGTGCTATCCAACAAAAAGAATTATTCAAATCAGACTTGTAGTTACGGAGATTAGCGCGATCAAACAAACAAACAAAAAACAAACTCTTGCGCTTTATATAATAGTATAAGATAAGATGAACGTGCTAATTTTAAGCAATATTCCAACGCAAATGCTGACATGTGACTGACGTGATCAATTGGGTACTTTCCTTAATCAAAAATAAATTATTTCAACTGTTCAATACAATAAAATATTAAAAAATAAATCACACTTTCATTAATTGATTTTATGACCAACTTAATTTTAGTATTATTCCAGTATTTCTTTAAGAAATACGTATGCTGTTTGACGCTTAAAAACCGTGACGTCACAATACACAATCTCGGTACAAAATTCATAGAAAACTGTCGTTTTTGACAGTTTGAAAAAAGTATTGAATTTGACTAGTTTGCAAGTACTCCATTGCTAAGGATTGGGTTTAGTGGCAATCAATGACTGAGTATGGGGATTAAACTGTCAAACACCAAGCGGTCTCATTTGCCGAGTGGTCGCAAGTGCAACTGCCGGCCAAAGGGTCTCGGGTTCGATTCCCGGGTTGGGCAAAGTATAATGGGTTTTCTTACAAAAATTTCAGTAGTAGGCTCACCTCCTATGACTCCCATGTAGACTCATAACATAAATAATAGTGAAAAGTGGGTGTTACTTCTGTGTCCACCTCTGCCTACCCCTTCGGGGATGGGAAAAGGCGTGATATTATTTTTTATTTTATTTATTTAAAAAATAAAAAACTTTGCCCCACTTTAGTATTTCTCCTGTGTCGTCGGTACGTTTACAAACATACAAGTTCACATACACAATGACACCCAGAAACAACAATTTGTGGATTACACAAAGTGTTGTTCCGTGCGGGAATCGAACCCGCGACACGGTGCACGGCAGCCGGTTGCCCAGCCACCGCAACAACCTTGCAGTCAATCAATCAATTTATGTTGGTTAATAATTTCGATCGTTATTGTTATAGTTCTAAATATCTAGCCACTAATTTCGCGATGTAGTTCAACTGGTTCCGTGGTGTAGTGGTTATCACATCTGCTTTACACGCAGAAGGCCGCCAGTTCGATCCTGGCCGGAATCATCTTTTTGTTACTTTTTGCCGAATGTTATTTTTGTGTTGACGGAAAATATTGCGAGATTAAAATTATAGTTCAAATTTATTTTAAAGACAATAAATGTGATCTGCATTAATATGTTTTTCAATTAGTAAAATTTTTTAAGTGTCAAATGATATTATTGTGTGCTATGACGTCACATTAATTCCAAATAATTATTCCAAATCTTTACATAATATAATTCTTCTGTGAGTGTGTAGGTATGTCACTGAACTTTTCTCAAACGACTGGACCGATTTTGATGACATTTTTTGTGTGTGTTCAAGGGGATCTGGGAATGGTTTAGATTCACAAATCAGCCCGGCAGATGGCGCTGCAGCCGATTTTAGGTTAGTTATCCTAAACAGCTGAACTGATTTGAATGAATTTTTGTTTATACATTCAAGTGGATATGCAGGACAACGTCTGTTGGGTCCGCTAGTTCTCTATAAATTACATTTTTAAATACTAGTTCACAAGAAATAATATGTAAAAATTTTAAAAATAGGCGTCGACCGGCAGCGCTGCGGGTGCCGTATGACGTCACATTGTTCTTATTCTTTCAATACAGAGGAAATATTATGATTCATACAATTAATCCGAAGTCTGAACGTTTTTTACTGATATTTTATGGAAAAGTTGAAACTACTTTTTTGGATTGAGTACATTAAGTATTCATTTCTAAGTTATGATAAAATTATAGTTTTAAATAAAAAAATAATTAGTGCTTTATTTACCTAAAGATATTTTTGTGAATACAATTAATCTAAAATATAATATAGATATCAACTAAATATCAACTAAAAAATACGCTCACCCCTTTTTATATGGGACTTATAACATAAATAGTGAAAAGTGGGTGTTACATTGTACTGTGGTATAATGTGCACCTCTGCCTACCCCTTCGAGGATAAAGGGCGTGATGTTACGTTATCAATTAAATATTAAATGACTAGGGCTAAAATAAATAAAAATTAAAGTATTTACAACTAAAACTAACATATTTAGAAATAAAGAAAAATATGATTGGGGGAAAAAATAAAACTCAAAATAATTATCCTCATCATTTTCATGAGATAAATTATAGAGGTAGACAGCAGTTAACTGGAGTGTAGAATAAAATTGATATCTGACAGTTTTTAGTATGGAACAATTGTTAAATATTAAGTTATTCCATGGCGTTAGTAATATCGACCCTAAAAGTTAATTCAACTGTCTAACACCGAGCGGTCACCGGTGACCGCAACCTATTGTTCTTGAATTGTGTCTATAATGTTTTATGTTTTATTTATTTGGACTCCCAACAAAAGATACACTTACATGCAAAAAAATAATACACCACACGTTACAATAACCTTGTGATCCTTCAATTAAAGGGAATCACATCATGCCCATACAAACATTTATAGCAATCGAATGAAATTAGATTAAATTAAATTACAGAAATGTCAAGAAAATACAAAAGAAATACAATATCAAAAATCCAAATCATAACATAACAATGCAAAACAAGTCAAATAAAAAAATTATTAAACATAAACAATTTTGGTTGAATAATGACGGTACTCAACGAGTTAAACCAATTATACAGTAGATCTGTTAGACACTTTTTGTTCGTCGTTTTGTGTCATTGTACAAACAGATATTTTACATACCGTGTGCGAGACACAGATCCAGAAAATAGTACACTTTCATTGCAGAAATATTTCATATCAAGTCAGTTGTTCACACACACGCACAATTTTATTTGTATGACATTGTTTTATACATATACTAGCTTTTACCCGCGGCTTCGCTTGCATCACAAAAGGGTAAAAAGTAGCCTATGTGACATATACCGATACATACAGCGCCATCTATACCAATACTTTGGTTTTCCCTCGGGAATATCAAATTTTTCCAGAATAAAATGTACCCTATTATTTAATCCAGAGTTCTAACTTTACGTCTGCAAAAATTCAAAGCAATCTGTTTAGTAGTTACGGCGTGAAAGCGGAACAAACAAACAAACTCACTTTCCGATTTATAATATTAGTAAGGATAATAATATCATTTATTTTATCAGATGTCTTTAGTATCTAAGGAATATTTTTCACACTCAAATTAAGCAGTCACTTATACATATATAAGTAATACATTTATAACTGACTGCCTCATTGGCCGAGTGGTCGCAAGTGCGACTGTCGGGCAAGAGGTCTTGGGTTCGATTCCCGGGTCGGGCAAAGTATTACTAGGTTTTTCAAAAAATTCACAGTAGTAGCACGGGGCCTGGAATTGTGCCCGGTATATGGCAATATGCTCACCCCCTATTACATGGGAGTCATAACATTAATAGTGAAAAGTGAGTGTTACATTGTACAGTGGCATAATGTACACCTCTGCCTACCCCTTTGGGGATAAAAGGCGTGATGTTATGTACATTTAAAACTAAAACGTAACTGTTTACAAATAATAATAATAAAAAAACTACGCCGCACGATGATAATCGATGTCACCATTCCCCATGACGAGAACCTTGTGAAAGCTGAGAAAGATAAACAAATAAAATATCTAGACTTAGCTCACGAGGTTGTCGACATGTGGAATGTGGATTCGGCTATCATTGTGCCGATAGTCGTGTCGGCCAATGGGTTAATTCCTAAAAGCCTCGACATCCATCTCAGGAGGCTGGCGTTAGGTGGATGAATCAAGGGCCTGATACAGAAGGCAGTTCTCCTGGAAACGGCACGTATCGTGAGGAGGTTTCTGTCTCTCGAGCCTTAACCACCGATAGCTTGGACCATGCTCCCGCAACTAGTCGGCTCCTATTTTTTATATTTTAAAATATTATTTTTAATTTTTTGAGTAATATTTAAAAATTTAATTTATAGAGAATTTTAAATAAATAATATTTATATGGAACAAACTAAGCCTAAACTAACTTATCTATTTACCATTTTAAATAAAACAAATATATGAGTGATTTAAATCCCTTTTTTGTAGGTTATAATTATGTTAGGATATATTTTGTAAAAAGGTATTATAGGGTTGTCATATCAAAGATAATAAAACCCTTTAATTAAAAACAGATAAAAATATCATGTAGCTTTAGACACTATTATCATTGTTCTTATTTTTTTAATTAAGTCCGTTCGCATGTTTACAAAATCTAGGAAAATTAACTAGGTAATTAGGTAATTCACGCAAACTATTGTAAACGTGAAGGCTTTCTAGAAAAAAAAAAAAGTACGTAAAATGTTATTATTTTGTCGCAACAAATGTAGAAAAAACGTAACAAAAAGATATGATTCCGGCCAGGATCGAACTGGCGGCCTTCTGCGTGTAAAGCAGATGTGATAACCACTACACCACGGAACCAGTTGGCCTACGTCTCAAAATTATATATCACTTTCCTTTCACATGTATAGTGACTGTAATATACATATTTATTCATTGCCTGGGGCATTTTATGTATGTAGTAATGACTATTAAATAAGAAATGAAACCACTTATTGAGATTATAGAAAGTAGATCAATCAACTAACGGCAAGTTCCAGTGTGACTTTATCCGAGTTTATGTACTTTGTAAGATTATCTAGACACCACTGACAAACGGTGAAGGAAAAACATCGTGAGGAAACCTGAGCTTATTTTGTGATTATAGGTTTCAAATCGCCAATGCGCATTGAGCGAGCGTGGAGATTAATGCTCAAACTTTGTCCATGTGTAAAGAGGACTTTGGTCAAATTCAAATAGTTCATCTTATATCTTGTACTATTATATAAAGTGGAAGAGTTTATTTTTTTATTTGAACGCGCTAATCTCCGTAACTACAAGTCCGATTTGAATAATTATTTTTGTGTTGGATAGCGCATTTATTGAGAATGGCTATAGGCTATAAAACATCACGCTACGACCTGTAGGAGCTGAACAGAGCGTGTGAAACCGCGCGGAAGTAACTAGCTGCGAATATAGGTCAAGTGTAGATGTTACACATGTTTGTTGACTGCCTCGTTTACTGACTAAGTGGTCGCAAGTGACAGAAAATAAAAAAAACAGCTCGCGTAATTTATGGTCGCTCCCTAATATCTTCTTCCTCTTAAAAAACGTTACCCCTCATTAGGATTTTCTCCTGTGTCGTGGGTACGTTTACAAACATACAAGTTCACATACACATGATACCCAGACCCGGAACAATAATTTGTGGATCACACAAAGAGTTGCTCCGTGCGGGAATCGAACCCGCTACGTTGCGCGGCAGCCGGTTTCCCAGTCACAGCGCTAACCATGCAGTCGCATATCTGACTTTTTGTGACTGCCTTATAGCAAATCCTTAGCAATTTAGGATATACTATGTATATTTTACCTACCGGTGCCAAATATAAATAATTTTAATCGATTCTGGCTTTTTGGTCCATACAAGAAAGTATCGTATTCCTTTTTATATGGCCGGCAACGCACCTGTGGCTCCTGGGCGGCGCTGATCGCTTACCATCAGTGGGCTTACTCTTGAATCCAATTTCGATCGATTGACATTGGTATTGTGAAATTTCATACTCTTGAGTTGCAACACTAGCGCCCATTGCATCCGTATTGCGTGGATATTGAATGAACTAATAAATGGTATTGAGTTTGGCTTTATATTCCGTACTCGGAATGCTAATGCTATTTCAACAGCTACGATTATAGTTGCATAGTGTTGACATTGAATAATTATTGAGATTTTATTGGATTAAACTTATTGCATTGGCATTGAGATTGGTTTCAAGAGTAAGCACTCTGGTGATCGACTGGTCGTTTGCCTCATATTCCATAAAAAAATACATTTCTGGACATTGTCCTTTCTATAGAATTTTCGTAATAGTCCTTTACGCAACAAAAGAACTTATTACCGTATAATTAACAATATTTTGTTTATTTTTCGGTCTAGCACTGTCGCAACAGTAAAACAGGTCAGGTTTCGGTAAGTTTCCTGTTGATAAGTGTGTTTTTATCTGCTATACGCTATGCTATCCTGCTCCGTCTGTATTTCACGAGCTTATATCGCACTAAATGCCAGTCTCAATATCTTTATATGACGGTGATTTGGATACTATACATAGAACTTTGAAATTATTATTATTTTATAACACGACGGTGGCAAAAGTAGCTCACAGCCTACCTGAGGCCTTAGTACGAGTGTGTTTTACGTTTAAAGTATTCGAAACTAGTACGCGTTCGGCGCTGTGATTGGTTGGTTAGACAACCAATCAGAGCACAGAGCACCAAGCACGAATAACTATCGCAATCGTAACCTAATAGTATAGAGTGCGTTCGGCGCTCTGATTGGCCGGCTCCAGTAAACCAACCAATCAGAGCGCCTAACGTGCTCGATACTATTACGTTTCGATACTATTAAGTTTCATTTTCGTTTAAAGTAATCGAAACGAGACGGCGTTCTGTGCTCAGAGGCCTTAGTACCAGTATGTTTTACGTTTAAAGTATTCGAAACGAGAACGCGTTCGGCGCACTGATTGGCCGGCGCCAATGAACCAACCAATCAGAGCGCCGAAAGCGTACTCGTTACGATTACTTTAAACGTAAAAGAAACTTGTACTAAGGCCTCTGATTGGTTGCTTCATTGGCGCCGGCCAATCAGAGCGCATAACGCATACTCATTTCGAATACTTTGAACGTAAATCAAACTCGTCCTAAGGCCTCTGAGCACAGAACGCCGTCTCGTTTCGATTACTTTACCGGCTCCAGTAAACCAACCAATCAGAGCGCCGAAAGCGTACTCGTTTCGAATACTTTAAACGTAAATCAAACTCGTACTAAGGCCTCAGGTAGGCTGTGAGTTACTTTTGCCATAGTCGTGTTATAAAAAAATAATAATTTCAAAGTTCTATAGTTCTAAAGGCATCTAAGGATGATAAGCGGTTACAGTGGCTTATGTACACTTGCAACATTTGGGCATTACATGCGCCTTGCAGTCACTCCCCTTTTGAAGTATTCCGTGTTGTTGAATCTTCACGATATAAGTCATTAATTTTCATATGTTTGCACTGTTAGGGCGGCTCCACCGTAGTGATAACACAGCTTCACATAAAGTTTGCGTGAAACAACGCTTGAGTTGTGTTTAGGGAATGCTAATCTCGGGAGGTTGGGGTTCAAGGGAGATTTTGATTATCTGGTTCTAGATTGGAAGTTTTGTATCTTTGTTTTTATTTTTGCAAATTATCATAATCTTTAAATCAATTTGGAAAAATCGAGACGCGCGCCCGCGCGTCATCCAAGTTCAGCAAACAGCGCGCGCCACAATGTATCTTTACACGAACCACTTCGTGCCACTTTTGACCCCTCTATAACTCAAAAACTATTTCAGTATAAAAATATTGAAAAGCTTTATAAAAATAATGACTGATGAAAACTGGCCAAGTCAAATCTAACCTAATTTAAGATCTCACATTTTTAGATAACAGCGATTATTATAGGTATCCAATAAAGCAAAGAAATATAGTTTGATTCTCGTTCATAACGTTATTTTGTTCCTATAGATACATATTTAAATTTTGCATAGAACTTGGCACTCATTTAGATTCTTTTTTCGGCGAAGCCCACGTCAAAGCATAATATTTGGGGTGAACTTGGCTCCCCTTTTTTACAATTATGTTTTTGGTGGGTATAATTATAAGTTATAAGATGAACGATTTATTTTCACGACTTTTTTTTTCTCGGAAATTATAATAAAAGAATTCTGCTAAAATGAATCAAAGTAGGAGTGAGACGTGTGATTTACGAGTGTAAATCATATGACGTCACTTTTGTAGTCACGTCATGCGATTTTTCAAATCAATATACCTATCGTAGGTAGTATTCTTTTCCGTAAAAAATAAAAAATAAGTGCCTAATGTTTTAAAATAATATACCAGACGGACGATAAAATAAAAATTAGTCATCTACCCTTGTACGAGTCGTGTATCGTACAGGGCACGCGTACATTCACATCAGCACTTTTACATCGCTTTACTCAAATCAGTGTATAAAGCACCAGTACACGTTCAGCACTTATATACATTAATACTCACCACATCAACCTAGATAGCATTAGTTATTTGGTAGCAAAGTATATAAGGTCTAACAAAAATAGTGCACAATATTTTAACAGGTGATATAGTACATGATAAGGATTATGTTTACCTAAAAAAAAAATGTAAACAAGTTTAATTAAATTTAGCATCACATTTGCAAAATTGTTGTTGTGTTTTTACGCATAACGCCAGCCGTATGGATGCGCGCGGACGTTTATCTTACGGGTCAACGACCGAGCTTTTCGAATAGGTACATAGGAATAGGTACATCTTGCAGGATAGCATAAAAAACAATGAAAATAATAAATGAATAATTGAATTATTTAAAATAATTGATAAGTTTTTATAAAATATTTTCATAAAAAAATGATGTTTATCACATACTAATTGACCTACTAAAATATTGTGCACTATTTTTGTTACACCTTATATAATAAACGGATATTCTTTGACTATCAGTGATTTCTTCCTATCTAAATCTCAAGTTGTGTGCGCCACATTCAGCAACGCATACAACCCTATTAAAGAAACCAGTCTTCTCTTCTAAAATCAATACAAAATCTTCAGTGAGGCAAATTTACGTTTCGATTTTTTTTTATTTATGGGATGAGTCGGTAAATGGGCATACGGGTCACCTGAGATGGTGGAAAAGAATACAATAGAATGTCATTTATTTCCAAGTATATGGTACATGGACTGCCTCGTTGGCCGAGTGGTCGCAAGCGCGACTGTCGGGCAAGGGGTCTCGGGTTCGATTCCCGGGTCGGGCAACGTATTACTGAGTTTTTTTTTAAAAATCTCTGAGTCTGGAATTGTGCCCGGTATATGGCAATAGACTCATCCCCTATTACATGGGACTCATAACATAAATAGTGAAAAGTGGGTGTTACATTGTACAGTGGCATAATGTGCACCTCTGCCTACCCCTTCGGGGATAAAAGGCGTGATGTTATGTATGTTATGTATATGGTACATTGAGGTTTTACACCGACTACCATTGCTGGTGTAGAAATATTATTTTAACCATGCTTTATAAAATTTTACTCGTTGAGTACCGTCATTATAGACACAATTAAAGAACAATAGGTTGCGGTCACCGGTGACCGCTCGGTGTTTGACAGTTTAAAAAAAAGAACTAGTAATTATAACAATGCCAAGTAAATTGAATAACAAATTTTGGTACATGACAGTAATTGGAAGTATCAATGTTATTTCCATTAAAATGTAAAAAGGGTAAGCCATCGGTGTCGCCCATGGACACCCGAAACACCAGAGGCATTATAAGTGCGTTACCGGCCTTTTAGGGATTAGGAGTTTGAGGATTGTTGGGATTCAGCGATTGGGGGTGGGCAGGGGGATACTTGGGCTTCCGGTGACCTTACTCACACGATGAAACACAACGACAGCGTTGTTTCACGTCAGTTATCTGCTAGGCCGTGCTATCACTCGGGTCGAGCCGGCCCTCGTCGGGTCGAGTCGCATCTTTGATATCGACCGAGACTGCATTCCCTAGCTCCAATCACTATCGCTTATCAGGTTATCGAATGAGATTTTTGCTATTTTTTTATAGTCAGGCTTTTCTAACAAACATACTTATTTTACTGGTGATACGGTCCACAAGTCCTCGCTTCTCTTGTATTCGGTGCTGTTAGCTTTCATACGCTGCTCTTTTGTAATCAACATTCTTTTTAAAGTCTAAGGTTTCAGTCTAAGGATTTTTTCCTATACACCGTGACATCTATTTCGAATTCGTTCTGCGGCATAAAAACTTGCCATAAGGAGAAGATACTTTCGATGTACTATAACACAAAAAAATAAGATGTCATTATATCTTATTTAATTTTTTTTTCATTAAAATACGCACATGAAACACTAGACGTATATTTGTAGACATTATTCGCATCGCACGTGCTACTCGACGAGAAATATCTCTTCGAAAATTATGGCGTGATGTTTTGATAATGTATATGAGTTCGTATGCGCATTCGAAGTTTGCTTTTTGCAATGGTTCAAGAGATTATTTTTGTTTTCAGCATCTTCTTTCTTTGTAAAGCTTTGAGATATGACTATTATACTTCGGAACGAAAACGTAATAGATTTCACAATGCATTTATATATTCATTTATGATAGAAGAACTCGCACTGTATTCTTGATTCTTGTTGAATGGTTTTTCTTTTCTACAACAATAACATAAACTTTTACACCTACTATTGTGGCTCTCTGCACCATCCTAAGGTTGACTGTTATGCCTTGTTCACACTACGCTAGTATTTTAAGCAAGTAACGAATATTCAGCAGCTCTTTTTTTTAAAAACGTTGCCCCACATTAGGATTTTCTCCTGTGTCGTGGGTGCGTTTACAAACATACAAGTTCACATACACAATGACACCCAGACCCGAAACAACAATTTGTGGATCACACAAAGTGTTCTTCCGTGCGGGAATCGAACCGTCGACACGTTCACGGCAACCGGTTGCCCAGCCACCGCACCAACCGTGCAGTCAGTGCTCTCTCTTGCGTCTATCCTAAGTCAAAGTGAGAGAGCACTACTAAATACTCGCTACTCGACTGAATTATTAGCATCGTGGGAACAAGGCATTAGATAATGCCACTTGGCATTAAGTCCACCATTGTATTATGTACTTACAAGACGTGTAAATGAATAAGATATGTTTTTAATGTAACTGTGTTTCTCTCAACAGGGATTCCCGAGACGCTGACGTCAGCTTCAGCGCGGGCGCCGGCGATTCGGTGAGTTTCAACCCTTTATTTATTATATTATTGCATGTTCATACTAATTTATTATGATTTAGATACGATATATGGGCAGTTAGTGATATAAAACATATGATATAATATAATCATTTATTTATATTGAATGTATAACGTAAGTACGTAATATAAAATATTACAAAAAATTATTATTACTGTGGGATTTTTCAAAATTCTCAGTTAGTTTGGAAATGTGCCCGGTATACGTCAATAGGCTCACCCCCTATTACATGGGACTCATAAATAGTGAAAAGTGGGTGTTACATTGTACAGTTGCATTAAGTGCCGTAATGTGCACCTCTGTCTATTCCATCGGGGATTAATGGCGTGAAGGCGTTCTTAGCACATTACTATCGGGCATGCAAAATTGGTATAATATAATGTTGTAATAGTATATTGTCCCCATTGCAACGTGAGTAAAAGATAATCACATATGTATAACGTTTTTCGAGTTTATTAGTAAGAATTAAAATAAAAAAAAATTAAATACATAAGGCGTTTACCATTTTATAAGAGACGATACTTAAGTCTTTGGCGTTCCATAGTCTCTGCCTACCCCACAAGCTTGGGGTTATGTATGTAAGTATATGACACATTTGATCTCATCTATTAGCTCATATATCGTATCTCATATTTATTATCGACTAGCTGGTAACAGGGGCTGAAAGCCCCTTCGCCTACCCGGTCGCGGTTATTTCTGTTTGTGTCATGGAATTACACATAGTACCTACCTTTGTTTGTATATTTTTGGAGGCTAGTACAAGGATTAGTCAGGGAATCTAAACTGATTTTCCGAGTGGAAAATAAATAAAGAAATAAATAATCTTCATTCAGAAATGTAAATGGACACAGATACAAAAATATTCCTTGAACAATAGACCTCACATGGTTAGGTGCCTGTACTAGGACAATCCTGTGTCACTGCCGAGAGTAGATCTAACATAATTATAATTTTATTGTAATACATTTTTATTTCTACAAACATAATACTTGACATAATTCTGAAATTTTCAGTTTTATTGAAGTTCACACACTAGGTATTCCAAAATTATCTCAAAAATTACACATGTAATGTAAAAAATAAAATAAAATTATAAATTCTTTATTACTCGCCCAATGATACATGTATAATTAATAATATTTTAAATACTACCCATAATAGTATTTACATAAACGCACAAACTGAAATTGTTACTACAGAACTTTCTACCTAAAATTAATTGACGAAAAATTTTATGTGATATTGTATCATCTTAATTTTTATGCAAGTCGCGTTACGTCACAATCTTGTTTATCTATGAAACATTTAATTAATTAGGTTAGCTAACTCATGTCGCGGTTCGACGAATTTACTCGATTCATTTCAAACCAAGTATGGGACCCTGAAATGGTTTGAAACGTGTCGAGTTGGCTTGGTAAAATACGACTAATATCTATATTATTATGACAAACAAACTGAGAAACTAAATCAATTCTGGTTTTCCTACTTAAATACTTCATCTGAATTGTATTTATGCATAAGTGACCACAAAATCTATTATTATGTCTATTAACTTTATATTTATATATCCAAAACTGTGTTTCGCTTTTATCAAAATTTAAAAAAAAAAAATTTACAGTTTGACGGGTCTAAGGATGTTTTAAAAGACTTGCATAATGCATGTGTTTTAGGTAGGTAGCTTCGCTTCATGCATTACCATCAAATCAAGGCAATCAACACGGTGTTGCCAGATATATCACAAAATTGGGGACGGAAGTGTCAAAAAAACAACAACAAGAAGGATTTTTGGTACAAAACCTTAATATTTTGGTCTCCCGAGTATGATATCGGGAAGAAATCTGGCATCACGAGTAGTATAGCATTCAGAGACAGATATCGATACAAAGAGTTTTGCTTCAGAACGAAACCACGATCTGTTCCTGTAAAGTCAAGACGAAGAGGTCCTGGGAACACGTGCGAACAGATGATGGTAGTTCCACGCCTTCGACTTGCGTTCTTTGCTCCGAAGATAGAAGCGAGAACAAGCACTATAGAGATAAGTCGGTCACAAGCAAAGTAACAGATAAAAAATCAGAATACTCGAGCAAATTTGTCAGTAGCAAAACTACAGACGTTAGGAAAAAGAAATCCGACTGTAGTAAGGTGACTGATACTTATAGTAAGAGATCTGACGCGACTAGCAAAAAGGAAGTTAAACGATGCGGCAAATGTAGGAGCGAGGTGACATGTGACTTGAAATATAGTGACTTTTACACCGACAGTGATGACGAGGACGAGACTAATAGACTTATACAACTGCGCAATGCAGACTACATGGACATTGTAGACGAGGATTTGAAATTAGTCATTGCTTTAGCAGGGTACCCTAAATCAAAGATGCGACTAAGACAAATGGAGCAATTCCAACGAGGTCTAACCGACGTTATCGATATGCAGCTAAAAGCTGGTCTTTTAAAGCGAGTACCATCTTTTTTAGACTACTATTTGAACCGAGGAGCGTTAGTATGCATTTGTAAAGACGTAGACACTAGGGACTGGATGGTTCGCATCTCCCCTGGTCTTCAAGAAAGGATGTGTACTAACTTAGTTCTACTTAAGGCGAAAGTCAAAAGACTGTGCTTGGCAGTTCTAAAGATTCCCAGGTCCTGTTGGCCGGCTACAGCTCAAGATGCTTTCAAACTTCTACAATATTTTAACCCTATGCTAAAGACGAGCCTATGGAAGATTTACGCGCAGAAAACGGTCGAAAATGTTGAGTTTACGTCGTTCTTAATTGATAGGGTTTCAGGAGAGATTATTCGAGGCCCATCGTTCAAAAATGTAATAGATTACGGACAGATGGAGTTTGAATTGACTGGGTACACTGAAATCTACTATGAATGTCTTCTCTCCGGCATGGAAGAGGATTTGAGGAGTGTAGCATCAAGAGTAAAACTTCTTGATGAACTAAAATCAGCAGAGACTACCCCAAGAAACGCGTCTGACGTTGATGTAAGTGTCAAAGAAGTAGGAACAGTGAAAGAAGAAGAAGAAGAAGATGATAATACTATTGCAGAAGAAGAAGCTACCACTATCGAGCCAGAAACAGAAGGCACGAACGACGTTCAAAAAGAACTAGAAAGTGGTTTACAAAAAGATATATTAAAGAAACTCAAAGACGTAAAATATATTAGCGATAGAGATGAAGTATTAGTTTGGTCGGACGAAACTAATAATTACAGTAATGAGATTGAAGCGGAAAAATCTGAAAACACAGGCAAAGAACAAGATAACTTAGAAAGCAATATCGCGTCTACTTCTGGTGTGGCCGTCTCTGATAAAACTGAATCTTTTATAGAAAGTAATGATAATCTCATTGCGAGAAGTAGCAACTTGAACATAGATAGCAATAGAGGTATTGCTTACCATAGAAGAACTAACTACTTACACGTAGAACACGAACTGAAAGTTGCAATTACTCTAGAAGGATACCCACAGAACAAATTAGAAGGAACTCACATCCGAAGACTGAAACATCTATTCAAAGAGTATTTACACAAAGATATGAAGATGCAACGCTTCGCCAACCTCATTATACCAAAATTTCAAGACATTTACCTATCTAACGGTGCTGTTATCTACATCTGTGACAGTTTAGAAACTAAAGACTATTTAACTGAAGTTTTGCCGAAGTTTATCAACTCGACTGGTTTGAAACTCACCTTTAGAGATATTAAAAATTTAGTTCGGTATACTAGGATAGTGATGAGGCTACCTAAGGAACATGCACATGTAGAATCTGTAGAGATTTTACTCAAGCTACAAAGTAAATATCCAGGTTTAAAGCCAGACTGCTGGAAGTATTACTCAGATGTTGCTGGAAAGCAGAAGAGACAGTTTGGAGTAGACCCTGAGTCCTTAGAAGTAATCAAGAGTCCCGAATTTGATCCTAGTTACGAAGGAGATAAGCTTACTTTTAGGGTAATCGATAGACAGAAACGTGACGTCAGCTTTGATGAAACTCATAAAGAAATTGATGATGTAGGCGCCAAGAAACAGAGAGATGTCGTGCTTAAACAAATGTATGTGCCGATAGACCCAGAAATAATGGCTGCTCCATTAACAAGGATTCGAACGAACCACTACTCTGACTTAATCGCTGATGACCTCAAATTGTATGTAGGTCCCTCAAACTATCCAGAATCTAGAATCGACGAAACGTTATTCCACTCAATCAAGAGAACATTCGAGAATATTATTCTAGAAGCTTTCGAAAAATCTGAGATTAAGGAGGAGACAATGCCGAAGTTCCATGATATGTACCTGTTTGATGGCGTCATCTTCATCATATGCCAGGCTATGGAAGCTAGGAGTTGGATCGAACAAACAATCTCTCTAGTCAACTCCAAACTACACATACACCTAAAGTCTACAGAATTTCGAGGAGCAGTTGGCATCATAAGCATGGTTTGCAAAACAGACAAGGACACAGACGAAGTCATTGCGTTACTACAGGATCAAAACCCTAGATTAAGAACTAAATATTGGAGGAAAATAAGCACCGTTCGGACTAAAACGAAACTAGACGTCGTATTACAAATAGACAAACTGTCGGCTCAAGTGATAACTGGACAGAATTTCAAAAAAATCATCGGTAACAGCGCTGTACAATTCAAATTGGGACACTTGCAATCTTTATTAAAACCTAAATCTAGTCTAGAAGAATTAAGCAAGCTTCACGCAAAACGTATAGAGCAAAAAGCAAGTGATAAAGAAGCCTCAGACAAGTCAAAAAGCAAGGTTTCAATGCAAGGCCCTAAAGAAAAAAGTTTCGATGACGTCAAATGCGAATTAAAAAAAGATTATCCTAATTTGAAATTGGAACAATGGAGCGTCATAGCCCAACATGATAAAACCGTGCATAACGTGTGTGATTTAGAAATAGATGGAGATTCAGCCAGTATGATTAAGAAAGAAGAATTTGAACTGAACATGGGTGATCAGAAGATATTCTTCTATACGGGCAATAAAATGGATTCCGATTTAGACCCTGTCATTATTGAACCTGATTCTCCAAAGAGTGTTGAAACTGAACTCATTTTACCAGAATCTCAAGGATACCACAAAGTCATTATGAAAATACCTATGAACATTTTGCCAGAAAACAAAGATGATTTGAACATTATATTTGACTTACTTGAAGATAAGAACCCGGGTCTAAATACAGAATTATGGCAGATATTCACCGACACGATTTACCCAAGTAATGGGAAATTTACCGTGTATATTGATAAGCAATCAGTTTCTGTTTTACAAGGCAAGAATTTTGATCCCTCCATTGGAGGGGAGAAGCTCAAATTTTTCTTCTAGTACAAATATTCAATTGACTGACGAAGTGATATACTACTATGTGCCTTAACTACTACAGAATATGAGTGATATTTGACTGTGAACTTATAGCTCGGTTTTATGAAAATACGTTGGACTTCATCAGTAACTAAATTGACTTTAAACTAAGGATTTTGACTATATGCCTTTATTGTATTATAAATATCCGTTTTAAGTAACATTTCAAGACGTTTAGCGTTTATTTTAACTGATTTTGATAGATATTCCGTACGCATACGGTTGATTATTCAATGCAGATAAATCCCTACAGTACCAAGTTGCGTATTGCGGTTAAACTTGGTCTTATCACCCTCGCAATAGAGTTTAAAATCAGTTAAAAAGACGGTAATTAAATCGCACGTTGCTTAAAATGGACGAAGTGTGATGTTTTTTTTATATGAACTAAGTTTTATACTTATTGTATGTAGTTAAGTCTGTGTTCTAGGTACTGTCTTTCAACTTCATTTAATAATGAGACGAAACTCTTTAGTAGTAAATTCGAGCATATTTTGTGTTTGTACAAAGATGACATCAAAGAGGATTTGACTGCAAGTGATAGTAGTTTTCGTTATAAACCAATGTAATGTAGAAATTGTCCAGTCAATTCGTTCTTAGATATCGTCATGAGCTAACTAACTTCAGCACTTGTAGTGTAGATTGTACAGGCCACTGATGGTAGCTATGTTGTCTATCCAGACGATACGTGTACTTGGCCATCGTCATGAGCTCACATGTAAAAAGTGACTCGTGTAGTGTAGGGATAGTCTAGTCCAGTGTTTCTTAAACTGTGGGTCGCGACCCCTAGGGGGGTCGCGAAGCCTTACTCGGGGGGTCGTCGACTGAAAGAAAAACGTCTCCACCGAGTCCGCGGACCCGCCGCTCAGACAGGCCCCATATGATCCACGTTGGGCGCTGAAACAGCTGGACCGGGAGGTTTTCCTGGAAGCCGCAATTGTGCAGGCCTGGGTGATACCACCGGTCGGACGGTACTCAACGAGTTATATCGCGCGTAGCTTTAACAACTTACCTCGTACTTACTTTCAATACTCTCGCAGCTTCTTGCAGAGTAGACCTGAATAATTGATAAAGGTACCAAAATAGTAGAAAAAAAATCATTAACGTATGTAGTCTTAATTAAATTTTATTAGTTCTTAGTCTTTCTATGACACAAGGGGGTCGCCAGATTTTCTCAACTTGTAAAGGGGTCGCGAAATCAGAAAGATTGAAAAACACTGGTCTAGTCAACTGATGGTAGCGGTGATTATTCAGGCGATTCGTACTGCGGTGTCGATTTGAATGGAAACGACCACCTGATTATCATCACACGGAGAAAATAGCCAGTCCTTCAGTATAACAGTTCTGCTTGGAATCCCAAATATTTTTGCTCAATTTTGACCCTGTCATGCTCACTTAAAAGTCTCGCTGATGGTAGCGTCATGTGTCAGGTGCTTCAGTTCCCTGCATTGTGGTCGAGCTGAACTACGCTGATGCATGCGTTGTACTCGTGAACGGGTGCTGTCAGTTGGGACTGGTCAGGTCAAGGCTAACCACCCAAAAAATAGGCAGTCCAATCCCTTTCCAAATAGTGGCTGACAGGAAACCAGCGTGCCCATCTAAAGCGTTTTACGAGGAATTGGTGAGGTTACCGGAGGCCTAGCCCCTTCCTTTATAAATGGCTAGCACTTGGTAACTCCTCCGATGTTGCGGGAGTCCATGGGTGCCGCTGATTGCTTACGATCAGTGCCTTTAGCCAAACGCCACTTTAGCGCTTGTCTACAGAGAGAGTAGAAAATTAAATGTATGAGGATGACACTGACAAGTGTCAAAATTTACGTCAATTCCATATAATTTGGTTTTTTATTCTACATGTAGACAAGCGCTAAATGGCATTTGACTACAGCTGCAGGTGACGCAGCTAATTTTTGGCCCCTATCTCCTATCGATAATATACTTCCAGTTTCTTAGTCGTTAAAAACTTAGGTCATATAACTTTGTAATGGAAATAGGTTTCTGCTAGCAGTGAAGGACTATTAATTACGTTAGCACCACCTAGTGAGTACAATAGTGTTGGCCTCGTTTCTTGGAAAATGATAGAAATACCAAGGCCATGCGAATGCAATCGTAGACTTTGAGAGCAAATCTGCTTGATTTTTGAAACGAATTTTCACTTTATTCCCATACCCACCGTATTGTATTAAACTGGTTAACTACCCACCATAAATACTTTACTGAGGTGTGCTTTAGTATGTATAAAGCTAGTCTTTATTCCCCTGTGATATGGTTGCTTTTTATACTAGCAAATATTTCTATCTCGAGTATTCCCAATTTACATATTATTATAATAGAGCTGATTTTCCTATGAATTTTCGTCTCATTCTCAATGTTGTATCGGTAACAAGATCCGAGCTGTTGTAGTAACCCATGTATTAAAAGTATTTTATACTATTACAATCAGATGTTATGATTCCCAAAACGAAATTGTGTAAACAGTTCCAAAGGAAGTTTTAAGCGATTTTTTAATCCAAAGTCGTTGGCTTTTTCTAGATTTAGATCTAGATTTTTGACAGTAACCTCTACAGGAGTAATACCAAAAATCGACCTTGATGCAATGACTTTGGATTGAAATCAGTTTATTAATTTCGGATTTTATACACCGTGAAATCTATTTCGTTTTCGTCCCACGGCCAAGCAACTTGCCGTAACTACTTTCGATGTATTAAGTAAAAACATAATCATAAATCATGAAACACTAGACGTAAAGTAAGTAGGCATTATTCGCATCGCACGTACCACACGACGAGGAATCTCTTCGAGAATGACATGGCGTGATGTTTTGATAATGCACTACGAGTTCGTATGCGCTGTCGAAGTCGCGGAGAACCTAACGGGTAACCGGGACTCCGGCTCGACGTGCAGGAGAAGGAACGGAGTGGTTTTTAGTCAGTAAGAGTCTGACACTCCCTCCCGCCTCACCCAGGCGGGAGCAGTCATTCGTTGATTTTCCCCGTTTAAAAAAAAAAATGCGCTTTCGAAATTTGCTTTTTGCAATGGTTCACCAGTTATTTTTGCATTAACATTTATTTTCTTTGTAAAACTATTGTAATTCCGAGACAGAACCATTACAGAACAGACGGAACTATTACTTCGGTGCGAAAACGAAATAGATTTCACGGTGTACTATTGATTATGGACTTAAAACAATTGAACAGATAAAGCGAACTTTTTAGTAACAATTTTAGTTTATATTAGTTTACATAAGTTTTATATGGTAAGTATTTATATTATTTTAGTAATGTCTACGTTGTTTGGGATGGCAGAGTGAGTGAAGACTTTCAACCTTGTTTGATTTGTGAGAAATGCTCCAAAATGAGACTTTGCTCGTTAAGTATATGGGTTCTGTTAGGGTATTTAGTAAAACACCAATAATGCGAATTACCAGAATGAATTTGAATTTATTTAGACGGTCATATTTATACAAAATTTACTTAAAGCTACGTATATCTTATTGGTAAAACAAATGTCGAAGAATACGCTCGGCCAATCAGAAACGTTCTTGCGTTTATATAAAAACTAACGCGGCGACCGGCCGCCGCATCGGGCCCCGCAAGGAGCCCGACTAATCCAACCCCTCGCCTGCTGTAGCAGGCAGCGAGCGCATCCGCCGAGACAGGCATCGGCCTGGATCGCGCGACCTCGCGCCCCCTGCCGGGGACGCAGAGAAGACTCGACGGCGGCCGCTCAGTGTTCTGAGGGTCGCAGCCGCAGGCGCACGTCCGTCGTCATCAAAGTACAACTACAACGTCATGCCGCCACATATAAAAATATGTGCAGTTAGTCGGCTGCGCACAAGACTGGAAACAAGTTTTTGTCTCACTCTGTCATTTCCAACAGCGGTTAGTTCTATACCCTCCAAGTCTCTATCCACCAAGAGATATGTTAGTCATGTTTTTAAATATAATTTGTTTTAATTTTACTTAATTTCTGTCTAGTTTATTGTATGTATGTATTGCTTTGTTGTTTGTGTTTATAATTAAAGTGTTGTTCATTATTATTTGTTTTGTCTTTTCTATTATATTATTTAGGTTTTAAAATATTTGTTCGGTCATCAAGGGCTAAATACGGGGGTAATTAACCTGGAACGTTTACCGGGAGTTTTGAAAATCGGCAGTTTTGTAGATTTTGATGTGTTCTTTTCGATTTTCATTTAGCATCAAAATAAAAAATAACAAAATTATTATATTTGCAAAAACATGTGTTGTATGTGTGCACACACACGCACGCGCATACTCACGCATGCATGTATATAAGATGAACAAGATAAGGGTGCACTTCAGACATGTTTGCTGCCACTCGTCATGGCATGCAAATTTCAAGTTACTAGTTAATTTCATCTAGTAGTTTCAAGTTAATTTCCATCTTTGTTCGTGCGCCACTTGCGTCGCCATCTTAGAAAAATGGCGGCCAAAACCGTTGTTTTTTAAATCTCTTTTCCTCCGCACTTTACGAGAAAATCGTTAACTACAAAATTAAACTATCTACTATTACCCAATTTTCTACAATTTATGTCTAGATAGCTTTGTTGTAATATAAGTAGTTAAAAAAAAAGCGCCAGAGCACAGCAAAGTACATTTTTATAAACATTTTGAGAAAAAAAAAAACAAAAAAGGCATACATTGACTGCTCAATGTCCACTGCTCCTATGCCTCCAGCCCCGTTCGCGCTCTTCATTGCACGTCATTTTTGTAACTGTTCAAATTGCTAACTGCTCGTGCAGTTACCAAGTCATTCAGATTCACGGACCGCTTTTAGAGTCAACAGCTTGAAACTGCCATTGATAACTGCTCAAGCAGTCAGTACTTGTCGGCACGGTTGACGCAAAGCGTCGCGATTCCCTCACGGAACAACTCTTTGTGTGGTCCACAGATTGTTGTTCCGAGTCTGGGTGTTATGTCTATGTGAACTTGTATGTTTGTAAACCGCACCCACGACATAAGTCCTAGTACGGGACAAAGTTAAAAAAAAAAGTTAAATATTAATGAAAAATGACGTGCAACGGGGGTGGCGCCACGAGAGCAGGGGACAGCTAGAGCAGTCAATGCATGCCTAGCGACTGCTTGGCCGCATGATGAAATGCCAACCCGAATCAGTTGCAACTGCTAGAGTAGTCCGTGTGTGTACGTAAATGGAAGTCTGTTATTCACTATGCAGTCGCAACTTAAAGCAGTCGATCTTGACTGCTTTAATCAGTTCGTTTATGGAACCTATTATTGGAAGGAAGTATAACAGCTTGGTTTGGTGCATAGACCCACTTAGTTTTTAGTCAAATTTCCGTGGTGCTTGCCGATTGGGCTTCACCCAGTTGTACAGTCTTTTTCGTGCCTTCAGGGTTAATACATTGTCTCCTGCAGGAATATACCGAGGGAAGTGAAAACTATCATTTTTTTCTTCTCCTCTTATAATATTTTCTGATTCACTTCGTTGTGGGAACCGAGACAGTTACTCATTTATTTATTTATTTATTTAAAAGCTTTATGCACACAAACAAGCACATGGGTGGACTTAATGCCGCAGGCATTTTCTACCAGTCTGACCCTTGGGTGATGCAGAGAAAGTAATCAGCGGGTGCAAAAACATGCATGTCCCTGGGACGCGTCGGACTTCAGTGTTCCGGGGTTTTCATGGTTGTATCTACTGTAGATCCTGGCTTACAGGAGTTGGTTATGGGAGCTTGTGGCGGGCTTGTCCAATTAAAAAAAAAGTTCGTTTATGGCCGGTCTAACATTGAAATTCCTAACTGTTCGAGTAGTTATCAATTATAGCTTCCAGCTGTTTGACTTATTCTGCGAGAGCGGTCCGTGTATAGTGTTAGGCTTAACCCATACCTATATCCCCAACGGGGTCACCGGTTACCGCTCTCCACTAACTACATTATAGATCTTATTTCTAATGTTTAGAGACTACTTTTGTATGAACAAATTTAGGAGATGATTTTCAAAAATTTTCAACATATTGAGATTGGGCTCAGATTCTATTGATTATTTCCGATATTTTAACAGGGTCGAAATTTATACGTTTTTTTTTATTAGCTAGAATGTATTGTACTGTTATATGTTGTATGTTATTACACTATTATAATGGGCTGGTCTAGTAAAATCGAAATCGATCGGAATCCTTTTTTATTTTATGTATGTAAAATCTTTATTATAAATATGTACATATTTTTACACAACACACCTACAATCTAACACTCCAACCTGCTGATTGGACGCAGTTTAAAATGCCCGCACTACAACGCATCGGATTGCGGCAGTGCATCGTCTGCGGTACCGGCGCCGATTCTTACTGCGCGGGATGCGGCATCACGCCGTATTGCTCCGAGCGGTGCCAGCGCCGCGACTGGGCTGATCGACACAACTCGGTGTGCCATAATCTTGCTAGGTGAGTATCTTCTCTTTCTGTTTAAAAAAACGTTGTCCCACATTAGGATTTTCTCCTGTGTCGTGGGTGTTACGTTGGAGGATTAATAAATTGTAGACGGATTTATTATACTTGGATTTATTATGATAATGTGTAGGGCGCACGACGTGTACACACACTTATAGTCAGAATTTTAATTTGACAATAGCTACTGTCATTTTGGGAAATAATGATACCACATACAATAGTGTAGTAATGAACACAAAAATCGATAAACAATCAGTGTGTGTGTTTTATAATAAATGTTACAGAAAGTGACAGGATAGCGATAGCGATGA